GAGTCCAGTTCTTCTGGAGTCAACTTCTTTCCCAGGAACTGACAGATCCTCTCTATGGTGCTTCTTGGGTCCTACATGTGAACATGAAGAGGGAAGCTATGAGCGGGCAGGAGAGCAGGACCTGGAGGATGGGAAGGGGTGTTAGGAGGGCTGTGGGGAGGAAGAGGAGGGGAATGACATCAGGATGGGAGAAGCCTGCTGGGGACACCAGAGGAGGGAGACAGAGACAGGGCCAGCAGAGGGCGTGAGGCATGTGGTGACATGAAGATCACAGGGGCTTCCCAGGAGGCTGAGTCAGGACACCCCAAAGGCAGGGGCTGAGGTTTCTAAGGAGAATCTTGAGATTTCAAGATAAGGCAAGGAGACAAAGTCCCCAAAGGCTAATCCTCACCCCAAGTGACCCTACGTCCCTTGACTGACACTTAATAACACACGGGGCTTTACAATATCTCCTTAACTTGACCCCATGGTTATCGATGGGTTTTCCTGGGAGATCGCAGCAAGGGAACAGGTCATTATGAGAAGAGAGGATTTCCTTGGGGACCTAGACCTCCTGTCAGTACCATAGTCCTTTATGATAGTTATGCTTTCACAAGCCCCAGTCACTGAGTGACAAGAAGACCCCACGGTGGCAATGATGTAAGAACATGTTGTTGGTTGGAGAGGAGAATCACAGGGAGTGTGCAGCTTGCTGCTGAGGTGGCTGAAGGTGGCACCAAGGCTCCTCCCTGAGGACCGACCTCATGCTGAGGACACAGCAGAACAGGAAGCAGCTGCAGGAAGGTGACCAGGGTCCCTTCTCCAGGGGAAACAGATGCCTGAGCCTGTGCCACCTTCTCTGTCCCCAAGACACACCCACAGGAGAAGTGTTTTCTAAGGTCTGCTCACTCCTTTACATTTTGTTCATTTTTGACCACTTCTGAAAATGCTTCTAAATATTTTAAAGCTTTCTGTTCCCTCTTGAACTGTGAGCCTCCCTCAGAGCCCTGTGCATCTCTGTGCTGTTCATGGGCAGTTTTCTCTGCACCAGCAGAAAATAGCGTTAGGCTAAGTACCTGCTCAACGTGTGACGATCCAATCAGTGTAAGTGGCACATCTGCAAACTCAGATGACAGTATTTATTTAGTTGAGAACATTCAAAATCCTCTCCATTTTCTATTTTAAAATATATACTTAGTTACTCTTCTCCACAGTCCCATCCTGTGCCTCAGATCACGGGAAGTCATTGCTGTTCCCAGCTGTACCCTGCACCCACCCACCAGGGCTGAGCTCATCCACAGGCCCTGCCTGTTACTCCAGCCCCTGACCCCTCACAATAGTCACCCAAAGTGTCACCTCTCATTCATGTCACTTTGTCAGTCAAGGGGGAAGCCAGAAAGGTGGACCTAACTCTGGGATTAGTGCTTTATGCCCACCCCTTCTGATGGCTAGGTTTCTGGGTACAGAGGGGGTCCTGCAGGCAGAGACCCTGGCAGCCCTAGTGGGTGGCATAAGTCGTGGCACTTGGTCGAGGAGTCTGRTGGTGCCTGCCTGTTTCCCAGATACTCGGGAGGCTGAGGCTGGAGGATCAAGAGTTTGTGGGAGGGCTGCTCAGATATTTCAGGATGCAGTAGTTTGGAACATATGAAGAAAGGGCTTGGGCTTGGGGAGGGTCTCACAGAAGCAGGGAAGTGGAGGTCAAAGGCTCATCTCCTCTCAGTGACCTCCACAGCCTATGCTTTGACAGGGAACGTGGAAGGGAGACACTTAGGACCAGGGACTTCGGGGAGAGTGAGGATGTTGGGGTGCTGTAGGTGCCAACTATGAGAGGGGGCTCACCTTCTGCAGCTCTTCATAACTCAGCAGCAGGACGTTCTCCCTGTGTCTCATGGACATCCAGCCACGAATGTGCTCRAACCATGATCCATAGGGCACTGTGGGGCAGGCACATGGGTGCAGGTTACACACTGCCAAAACAGGGCTGTGCCATCCATATCAATCTACACACACTGACAGCTTGATTCACATATTATTGACCAATGCTGCTCAAACTAGGTAATGGAATAGAGAGGGGGATCTTTCCTGAATTCATTCTATGGAACTTGTCGCATACTGATACCCAACTGGGAAACACAGATCAAGTAAGAAAATAACAGACCCATATTCCTGCTGAACACAGATACAGAACAGCTTACTAAAATTTCAGCAAATCCTATTCAGCATTAAGATTATACTCAGGACATGCTGTGTTCACACTTTAAGACTGTACATCACGAGATGCTGATTTCAATCCAGGGATGTAAGGTTGGTCAACACAGGCAAATCCATAAAGGTTCACCACATCAATAGAATTTGCCTTGACAGAGGAACTTGGCTGAGCATCATGAGGGCTGTRTGTGACAAACCCCAAGCCAACATCATGTTAATCAGGGAAAAACGGGAATCATCTCTCCTAACATCAGGAACAAGGCAAGGATGTCCACTTTCACCACTGCCTTTCAATAGAGCGCTAGAGACTCCAGCCAGAGATGTTGGCAGAGAAGGGAATCAAAACCTCACCAGTGGGAAAGAAAGAAGCCGCGAGGTCACTGTTTGCAGGTGATAGGAGGCTCTGCTGTGAACACCCAAGACCTTTCCCCCAAAACTCCTAAAACTGATCAATTGAGGAAAATAGCAACATACAAAATCAACATGAAAAAAACAAGCACTTTTCTTCAACACGAGAATGAATCTGCTGAGGAAGAATTCAAGAATGCAATTCCATTAACAAAAGTTTCAACAAATCCCCAGGTCGAGGAATGTGATGGTGCAAACCTGTATCCCAGATACTCAGGAGGCTGAAGCAGGAGGATTGAGAGTTCAAAGCCAGCCTCAGCAACTTAGGGAGGCCCTCTTTCTAGATAAAGTATGAAAAGGGGCTGGGGATGTGGCTCAGTCGTAGAGCACTTGACTAGAACCTGCAGAGCCCTGGGTCTCATCCCCAGTGCCATAGAATAATAATAATAATGCTGAAGCTATCATGTTTTAAAGTACACCCAGTCTCAAGTCATACAGAAAAGGTATAGTAAAAAAACGTGTGCTAATATCAAAATATTCACGGAGATCAGTAGATTAGAATAAACACTCAGAGACAGACCCACACAGATAGAGTCAAATGACCCTTAAGAAAGACACCAAAAGCAAATGTTGGAGAAAACAAAGCCTATTTAATAAATTCTGCTTGGAAAACTGAACATCTACAGGTAGAAGAATGAGGCTAAATCCTGCAGAAAAATCAACTCCAAGTGGATCAAAAATCAGGAATTAGACCATAAACACTGTAACCACTAGTGGAAATCATGGTGACTATCCTCCGTTCTGTAGGAGCAAGCATTACTTCTATAAGACTCCTAGTGTTCAGTAAAGAAACCAGGAGTTGATAAATGGAGAGRCTCAAGTTGAAAAGCTTCCACACAGTGAGGAGGCGAGACAGAGAGAGAGGGCTCACAGGAGGAAGCAAAACCTTTTCCAGCTGATTTTCTGACAGAAGATTAACATCCAGAGCATAAAAAGAACTCAAAAATAATGTTATTATTATTACTATTTATTTCTTCTAATTAGTTATACATACAGTAGAATGCATTTTGATTCATTGTACACAAACGGAGCCCAACATTTCATTTCCCTGGTTGTGCATCATGTAGAGTCCCACCACATCTGCACTCCACATGGAATTAGGGTAATGATATCCATCTCATTCCACCGTCTTTCCTGCCCCCATGTCTCTTCCTCCACTTTGCCCAATCAAAGTACCTCTATTCTTCCCTTGACCACTGCCCTTGTCCCTTTTGGTTCAGGGTCCACTTATCACAGAGAACATTTGGCCTCTGTTTTTTAGGATTGGCTTTCTTTGCATAGCATGATATTCTAAACCTCCATCCATTTACCTGCAAATGCTACGAATTTATTCTCTCTTAATGCTGAGTAAGAGTCCATTGTGTATAAGTGCCACTGCTTCTTTATCCATTCATCTATTGAAGGGCATCTAGGTTGCTTCCAAGTTTAGCTATTGTGAATTGAGCTGGTATACATACTGGTGTGGCTGTGTCACTAGATTCTGCTGATTTCAACTCCTCTGGGTAAAGACCAAGGAGTGGAATAGCTGGGTCGAATGTGGTTCCACTCCAAGTCTTCTAAGGAATCTCCATACTGCTTTCCAGAGTGGTTGCACCAAGTTGCAGTGCCACCAGCAATGTATGAGTATGCCATTTCCCCTTACCACATCCTACCACACTTCTTGTTGCTTGTATTTTTGAAAATTGACATTCTGACTGGAGTGAGATGGAATCTTAGAGTRGTTTTAATTTGCATTTCTCTGTTACTGGAGATGTTGAACTTYTTTATGTATTTGTTCATTGTTTGTATATCTTCCACTGAAAAGTTCCTGTTCAGTTTCTTAGCCAATTTATTGATTTGGATAAGAAACAAAATCTTAACACCAAAAACCAAATATCAAATCAAGAAATGGGCCAATSACAATCATTTCTCAAAAGAAGAAATAAAATGGCCAACAATTTTATGAAAATAATTTCAACATTTTTAACAACCAGAGAAAATCAAATAGAAACTACACAAAGATCATGTCTCACTCCAGTTGCAATGGAAATCTTCAAGAACACAAATAGTAATAAACACTGGGAGGGAYTGAGTGAAAAGGAGCACTTACACACTTTTGGGATTGGAGACTAGTTCAACACCATGGAAATCACTCTGAAGTTTCCTCAAAAGACTAGGAATGGAGCCAGCATGTGCCCTAATCATAGAGCTCCTTGGATCCATCAAAACAAAGTCAGCACACTATAGCAACACATGCCCCCCAGGTGGATAGCAGTTCAACTCCCCGCAGCTGAGCTCTGGGACAGCCTTGGTGTCCACTGACTGATGAATGGATACAGAGAATGTGGTTCATACACATAATGGATATCACTCAGTCATAAAGAAGAACTAAATTATGTCATTTACAGGAAAATGGATGGAACTGGAGACCAGCATGCTGATGGAAATAAGCCAGACTCCCAGAGTCAAGAGTTGTCTGCTTTCTCTCATATGTGGAAAGTGTGCAGAAGATGAATAAAATAGGTATACCACAAAATAGGAAAAAGGCCAGCAGAGTACAGGACACAGACCTATATGGGAAAAACACTCACCGTTTCCTTGGATGAACCATTGAAAATACTGTTCCAGTGACTCTGGTTGCTTACATAGTTTCATCATAGTCCGATGATAATAACCTGACACAAGAACATCTTTGGGATTTCTCATGACATATATCACCTTAAATTTAGGGAAAATGAGAAAAATAAAAATCAGTCTCAGTCAGTCATTTCCCACCTTGATCTTGATCTTTCCCTGGGCAGTTCTTCCTTAATCTTTATTAAACCTGTGGGTTCCTTTAATAAATTAGCTACAGCGTTCATTCACCAAATGCACATCTTAGTTCCTATTACATGGTCATATCCAGGAGTAGAGGAGGAAGACCTTGTCTCTTCTTTCTGGGATACTTGTCTACTCTTCCTGGGAAGCTGCTGGAAAGTGTTAAATGGTAAGTGGTGAGGGGTGTATGTGCTTTCCCACAATGATCACTAACAGCACACTGGATTAATAAATTATGGAACATTCAGATTCATAGCACATACAGCATTCTCACACTCTAGACCATCGATGAGTCTCACATGTATGACATCCAGACAGCATGCATGCATTATAGAAAATTCAGGAATAAGCAAAAGTAATCTGTGGCTGTAAGTCTAGRGAGTATTGCCCTCAGGTGGTGGGCACTGGTGGTAGACAGGGACTAGGGAGAATTTTTTTGATTATAGAAATGTTGTACACCTGCTCTGCATGATAGTTGACCAACTGTGTATGTTTGTTCACATGAGGAGGCTCTTGTTTAAGATTACTGAACACACACACACACACACACACACACACACACACACCACTTGGTACTTAATCATTCGAAACTAACTTTCTATTTGCACCAACTTTCTTGGAGTTCTTATTGGAGGACTTACGTCTTCACAGGCCTCAGTTTACTCAGGCAGAGGCCAATGGAATCCAACAGGAGACATGCAAATGGGACTCACTATTAGGCACTTCGTGACATTTCCAAGACACTTGGTCATTATTCTAGGATCTTGACATCAATTAAACTTAATACATGAAAGAATTTAGAAGTCAAGTTTAAGAAAGGATCTTCCTAAATGTAGTCTTTGGCATGTTAGATCTTGGATATCCACTGTCTGTGCTGATCACCCATCAGCCATGTGGAGGCTGGAGAGGCTGCTGATCACAGAGCACAGTGACGTGCAGAGGGCTGGCGTCATTACCTAGCTAGCCAAGACTCCTAGCAGTCCCCTGGATGTGAGCATTCATCAAGGTATGCAGGTCTGCTCCCCACATATGGGAAACACTGACTTGGGTGCTTCCTCTTACCTGGCAGGAGGCTGTGATTGAGGGAGTATTGGCGGACATCTGTAAGAGCTGTATGCTGGGACACGAGTGTAGATGTAGTTATAATTCTGGTTACACATGGAATGTGGTTTTCTAAGATTCTAACTTTAGCCAGTCATATTACCCCTGAATTCAGCTGAGGCTAATCTGCTCAATGGTCCACATCCTTGCACTCAAGGGTGGTCTGGTTGTGGCCACATGWACCTAAATAATATCTGGGAATCACAGTCTCACCAATCTACCCAGTGAGCACTCACCCCAGCAGATCTGCAGGGTTAACCTAGGCACATGGAAGGGGAAAGCATGGATTGAACATTAGGCACTGACCTTGGCCTTGGAAGTGAATAGAGACTTGGGGAAGAGATGGAAGGGGAGGTGAGAGGACATGAGCCTTGGGCCCTCTCTCTCATTTAAAAGATTGTAACCCATATCTGTCTCTATCCAGGGTGAGCGATCCCAGGTGGGCACAGATCGAATCCACTTGGTATCACCATGGGAGTGAATCAGGCAGAGAATTTCAATCATCCAGTTGGTTCCTAGATAAAAAAGGAAAAGTGATGGTCACTCACTTCATCCTGCCTTGTGAACAAAACTTCTGATAAAATACATAATATGCACTTTACCATCTGCCCATTTTAAGCATGCCATGGGGTGGTACTGAGCAGTGTTCAGCATGTTCCTGATGTTGCTCAGCCGATGTCCAGAAGCTTTTTGTCTTGAAAAACTGAAACTCTCTGCTCGTTAATAACATTTCCCTACTAATTCCATCTTTCAGGCCCTGGAACCCACCATGGGGCTCTGTTTCTGTGAACTTGACTACACTTTGCCCCATGGATTCCTGTACTATTTGTCCTTTTGTGCCCATCAGACTGCACTTAGCATGGGTCCCAGTATTGACTACATTGTAGAAGGAGTCAGCCTGTCGTCCTGGTTAAGGCTGAATCTTACTCCATTGTATCAACTCCCCACGTTTTGTTTACATGTTAAACTACAAGTGGATTTTTGGATGCTTCCAACCCTTTGCTCTTGGCTGAGATCTCTCTAATTTGTCCCAACTTCCCTTGATTTTCCAGCCTCGTGTCCCTTCAAAGGTCATTGGTCCCAATCCTCGCCCAGTTTGCAGTGCTCCAGCCCCAGCCCCTCTCCTGTAGGTGCATGACACCTGTCCTTTCAGTCCCTTGAATTTTCCAGGCTCTTTCTGATTCCAAGTCCACGCTGACCCTCCTGCTCTACAGTACCCCTCCACCACATGACCTCCATTCCAACTTTTCATTCCTGTTGAGCTGGTATTTCAACAGTAGGTCTTCACAGGCCAACCTCTTCCACCCCCTTCTCCTGTGCCACCACACAAATGCCCAAATCTGCTTACGATTCACTCCTATATCTCCCTCTCATACCGCAGATGACCCTGCTGAGCACTTAGTCACTCTGTCCTAGTCTGGATACAAGTGGCCTGGGCCACTGCCCCTTCTTCCCCAAAGCAGGGCTCACTGGCATGGAGAGGTCAGGGCCTCCATCTGCTGAGTAAGCGAGGAATGCAGCCATCACCTGTCCCATTGATGGTCCCTGTCCTGTTTCCTTACCTGATTTGGGGTAGGTCACCAATACTGTGTCTTCATCCTTTATCACAAACTGAGCACATGCTTCTTTCAAAACTTCAGAACTAAAACCAACCACAGAGAAAGGTATCCCTTCAAACCACAAGTAGCCGTCTGTCATGGTGATGAGCTCTCTGTGCGAGGTGCAGGGGTTCCTGCTGTAGCCACCACTGGATGTTGGGGGAGGTATTGGGAGGCTGGACTTTGCAGTAAAGTCAAAAGAATCATTAACTTTTCTGGTTGTCAAATTAACTGGGTGATAAAACGAAATTGTGACTGGTGATCGAAGTTTCTTTGCATTGAGCAATTTAGCAATCATTCAGGGAACGGAAGGATCAGGATGTGAGCATGAGTTCATGGGCAGGACCCCATAGCAAGTGCTGCAAAATAACCCCACTGAGGAATGTCTGGGGCCTGAAGAAAGCCATTTTTGTTGTTGTTTATATGTGTTTTGAAGAGTTTTCAATATAGAAATTTTACATGAAATCAATAGATACAGTGTAAAAATAATAGCCTGGAAGGACTTTGTGGATCTGTGGGTGCAAGACTCCTTGACTCTAAAGGACAAGAACCTGCTTCAGAAGTCTGGAGGCAGAGTTCCACTGCAGGTCTCACTGACTCTCTGACCGGCAGCTCTGACTCACGCACAGACCCTGTGCCCTGGGGAAGAGTGGAAAGCGCCAGTTTCTTCTCCTGCCCTGACTAGGCGTGGAAGAGATGACTCAGGGATCACCAGATTTTGTCACAATTTAAGTGGTCTCAGTTCTCTGTGCCTCCTCTGCTGTCATCTTGGCTCCTTTTCCTGTGGCTCAAACAACCTGTTTCAGGCAAAGCATCCTCAGTCTTCTCAGCTTTGCGGAATCTCTTTGCAG